CCTTTGGTCTGGAGAGGATAGACAAATATGTAACTACAAGTAATTGTCAACATTCAAACTAACTATAGTACTTGAACTACTTAATTTATTACTAATTTAAATTACATGTATGCGTTTGTAAGGTACTGATTACTATTGTCTAGTGTTGATTACATAGATTCCTTCAATATCCCAAACTATGACCAGCTTCGAAAATAAATATTGCGGCATAATAACATACATTATTTTTGATCTATGTGTCATTTCCAATTGTCCTTTAAAAGTAAATTATAATTATTTTCTTATTTTAAAATGTTTAAATGTTTAAAACATGTTTTAAATAATTGAAAAAAAAAGAAAAATTATTCTGTTTAAAATTAAAAAAACAGTTTTTTTTCCGAACCCTGACCGTAATAAACGAAAAATTCAAACAATGAATACTGAAACGATCGACACATAATAAATGATTGCGACGCTCAAAGAGTAACGCTCTTAATATAATATTTACATCATGACGCAAGTAGATTCAGTTAAAAATATAGGAACCGAAAAGTAAAATACGAGGTGCAAAAGTTTCCGTTTTTTTTTTTTTTTTGTTAGTTCACTGATAACAGTGTACAATCATTCAGCCTATATACTGATGTAATAATGGCTTTTACGGCAAAAGTTTAAGACGAAAAAAAATAAGTGTTAGGTACTTGAAAACATATACAATAATGAAAAAAAAATCGATTAATTACTTAAATAAAATTACATAGAGAACGTTGGTTCTGACTTAAAACTAAAACACAAGAAGTTATGAATAATGAAAAAAAATTTACGATGCTCTGCAATGGTCTTTACATGACTTACGGTGCAGTGTCTTCGTCGAGTCGCAGGATTCGCTGATCCAGCGAATTCCCATGGCTCGACAGTCACGTAGATCATTCATTTCTTAAGAATTTAGATAATTGTTTATAGTGAGTGTCATACAATCGACATGTAGTCTACAGGGTACACCAATACATGATATAGTGGTATGGTGGATTGATTGCAACCTTAGGTATGTCATATTCGTATGGAAGTTGCACGCTTTTTTTTTCTTACATACTATATTTTTATACTTTTTTTCGTGTAGATGTCACTTGTTATACTGTGTGATTATAAGTCGATTCACACTATACGGAACGTCGACGTCACGTCACAGACCGGCAACGTCACGTTAAAATATCTTACTACGTATTTATACCGCAATGTTCACACGTACCGGCAACATTATGTATCGTCAACGTCACGGAACAGCAACGTTTATCGAAAACTATATTTTGACGTGACGCAACCGGTCCGTTCTTGTCCGTTTGGATATTATTTATGTCACAGAACGTTTCCGTCAACAATAAACTATTACTGATGTGGAATTGAATTGAAATTGCATTAATTATTTGATTAATTAAATAATATATTAAACATTTAAATAGTTATGGAAGATGGGATGTTGATTGAGGAAGTACGCCAATATCAACAACTATATGATACGACGCACAAAAAATATAGTGATAACATTCACAAAGATGTTTGGAGAAAAATTCATAATTTTTTTTCTTCGTCGTTCAAAATTAAGGCAATCATCACTAGTTGTTTTCTACTGAACTTAGGCATGTTACAAAATCGAATATTTAAAAAACAAAAAAAAAAATGAATTTAAAACACTAAATGAACTAGACTTTGTCTAACTTAACAGAAAGTCCGTTTAGTAGATTTCCGTTTCCATGACGTTACCGATAAATGCGAATGTATTCTATTTTTGACGTCACGTTGCCGGTCTGTGACGTTACGTCGACGTTCCGTATAGTGCGAATCGACCTTATTGCAGAAAAATCTAATATTTCGTGTATCTGGTTTACCACAACAGGAGAGGTTACAAATTGTAATGTATGTAAATCATTTCCTCAGTCCTTACAATAAGATTTGTAACTGATTACCCATTGATAATGGGGTAGGTACTGTAAACAACAATCCATGCGACTGTTTTCTAATTTGTGGAGTTTCGATTATGGGATACTCTTAATTTTATCTTGTTCGTCGTAATAATATAATTTACACGTTATTTATTTCGTGTGAAAATATCATTATAATAGAGTAAAATAAAACTAAAAGTATAGGCTCTAAACGCATGTAAACATTCTAGTTTTTAATAATTGCGCGACTATTTTCAAAAATGTTTCCGCGAAATGTAATTATTAAAATAACGTGTAGGTACTTGAATTACATTGACAACTTGGATTCATAAAGTATTCCCAAAAAATACATTAAAATACTTTTCGAAATTCCAGCTATATAATAATGTAAATACCTGTAAATAATAATCTAATACTAAACTGATATTAATTTAGTATACATTAATCATTAAAGTGTACTAAAAAGGAGCTTACATTTTTTTTTATTAATTTTTTTAGATATTTGCATTTAAAGAAACAAAGTAAAATTCACTGTAAAATAAATAGGTACAGGTTATTATGATTATAATTATTATTATTACAGATTATAAAATAATATAACACTCATTATACGTTGAATTATTATTGCTAAGAATTGTTGAATATGATTTATGGACAACGAATAGGTATCAAACATAATACTTGTTATATTATTTCTTTAATAATTACGAGATTTAGTGATTTAAATATAAATAGCATTTTAAACGTGTTAATTATAATATAGATTATTATAAATGAAATAACAATTTTTCTTTTAAACTCAAATGAAAATGGAACAATACATTTGCAATCCATTACCGGTTTTTTTTAAAGATTTTGGAAATGAAAATGTGTACAGAATCAAGAGATGATTGGGATTTTCAAGAACAACTGATGTGACAATACTGTTGCGGAAAAAGAGTAAGGGATCCGCCGAGAGACTAAAAATAAAACGATATGATGACTGAAAAACCATTTTCCCGCTGATCAGGTAATACTCGTACCTGTATCATATCATCCTACACACGTACGCACGGGGGTTGCCGGGTGTGCTCGGGCACCCCCTGAAATATTTTAAACGAGGCCCTATGATTTAAGTTTAAGAGTAATGGGCCTGTATTTTAACTGATGTTGTTCAAATTGAATTTGATTTATTCTAAAATATTTGGTAAAAAATAAATGATTTTTCGTATAGACAGAATAAAACAAAGTGTTCTAAATTTTCGTGCAAAAATATATTATGATAATATAACAGATAATGTGCATTCAGCAGTAATGAACTACAAAAATACAAATCATAAGTAATTGAAGCTGTATAGGAAAAATGTACGAGATTCAAGGAAAAAATAATCATCGAGACTAATATAGAACGGTATTCAATAAAAAATTAAAGTTATGTTACACGTTTTGTTTAGACAGGGCCCAAAAGAATACTAAGCATCATCTGAAATACAGGTCTGCCGCACGTCCATGCTAATGTCCTTTCGTATACCGATTAGCTACCTAAGGTTCTCGTTTCTTAGTTTACGTGTGGCTACGCACTACCATATTATCTGGTAGCTAAGCACAAAACGATTCACAAACATTTTCGTCCAGCCGTCCCACTTTCGAACAATTAACATTTATCCGTCCGGATCCTAGTGGATTCACCGAAAAAAAAAAAAAAAAAAAAAACGTATCTATTGCTGTTTGCGATCAGAATAATGTTTAGCATTCGTTTCTTTCCCGAAAACATCGATCACTTATCAGTGCCAAGTTGTTGTTCACGTTATTTCGAGACCGCGAATACCGGACCGAGTACACAACTGTACTATAATAACAATCGTAATATGTTATTTCCTCTAGCGGATTAGCCGATTCGCCGTGTCCGTGTACGATCAACTCGATAACGTTGCGCGTTCATATGCGGTGCGAAACGTTGTAATGCTCACCGGCTGGATGTTTGTTTTGTCCTACACGTCATACACTCGTACGTATATTACAGATTTTGTCGATAACGTAACGCGATGAAATGGAATACGTACGTTTTGCACACGTTTCGTACCGAACGAGCGGAAAGCGTTCGACTTGCAGGTCACGCCAGTGGTCGTCGAAACACCGTTGTGCAATTATACGGCAGCCGCGTACGCAAATACGTCTACGGCGGGACCTCGCGGCTACGAGCCGAATTGCACAACCCGCGTGAATAACGTTGCGGTTATTAACCGATTCGTTCGGCATTGGGTCGCCATGTACGTTTGTTGTCTTGTACAGGGTGTCCCGCGTACGAAGAACCCGTATCGGCGCTATTGCCGCTCGTCTTCTGTTCCGTTTCACGACCGTCGGACCGATAGAAAACGAAGCGAACCGGATTTCGAGTACGATATCCATCGCTGTAGGAAATTTTGTCCGTCGGCAACGGTGGCGTGCATAGAAATCGTTATTGGTTCATCATAGATAGAAACTAGCAACAGATCTAGCACTTAGAGGCTATTACTAGTTTAACAGTTTCCGTAATGGAATTTTGCGAAAATCATCTCCGTTTCGGGAAGGGAGACACCCCTATATACGCCACTGGTCGGCAAATCCTTCGTGCGGGTACACCCTGTACCGTACGGTTCACTCGCATTAAACACTGCAATAGCAACAATATTATGGGTACATTAATCGATGTGACCGGTACCAAGTGCGGGTCACCTTTCGTAACCTTCTCCGGCTCTCGTACATCACTACCTGTTGCGTACATTTTCGCTCTCGTACGCGCGCGCGTGCGCTCGAGCTGATACGTAGTTACAACGCGCCCGCGCCACCGCGTAATCTTTGCCGCCGCCGAACCGTTATCAATTTGAAAAACGATCCGTTCGATTTTTACGTCCGAACGTTAATCGCCAATGATTAATGGCCATCGTTCGGCGGCTCGCCGCAACGATGTTCCCCGATCATACGTCTTTATTACCGCCGTCAGGAACGTCGACGTGGCCCCGAGCTACTGCTGTTGAAGTGTCGCAACAGGCACTTTGTTCACGAGCAACGGCAGGGTAACGCTGCGGTTCCTCCCGCGAGACCGGTGAACGTTCGTCGGAAACAATGAAAATGTTCGGCGTGAAACGGATGATCGACGATAGGGTTAAAAACGTCAAAAAAATGGTCAACGACATGGTAACCGACGCGGTGGACAGGGCGTACAAAGGAGGTTTGTTCTCAATGATAATCATCACCATCGTGTGGGTGTCCATATTTTTGTACATAGCGTTCTATTATGCGTACATGCCGTCGCTCGTGTTGAGCCGACCTATTCACATGCAATTCAAGTGAGTTCTGACGTTCCGATGGACATTTCGCCGTTTCTATTTGTGCACTGTTGAACATTGTTGTACTTTTTGACACGGATTTGGAATACCTAGTTAGTTTTTTATTTTTCTATCAGTAGAAGCCATTAAAGTTTTTCATTGATCTATCAATTACCGTAGAAAGCCGTCGTCAATAAAGCTAAAACAAATTAACAGTGATCAAATATTGACCAAAGAAACTAAGTTAAGTTGTATCAATAAGTAATGGCATTCAATTCGATGCAGTTAACTTCGTTATTAAAATGCATTTGACACTCTAAATATTAATATTTTAGTAAATTTAATGATATTGGAATCAATATTTTAATGGTATAACTCATATATATATACCATCAAACTCAACAAGTTAGTTTATAAATTCAATTTCATCTATTATAAATGTATTCTCCAATGAGCCATAGCTGTTTTACTATTAATGATTCGTATTATGAATCACATATTCTATATTTTTAAATTTGCATTGTTTGTTGACGCTTTAAAACTTTATTTTCCAATTTTAATAATAATTTCAATAAATTACAATATGATCTTAATCAATTAAATGTATGTAAAAAATGTTTTTAATTTGAGTATGGATAAATGTTTTTAAATAACATTTATATCAAATAAACAAAAATTTATCATACAATGATTAATATCTAATAAAAAAAAAAAAAACATAATATTACAAAAAAAGTCCAAGATTTAGGCATTATTTTTTCTAGTGATCTTTCCTTTGTTGAACATATATATGTAATTTATAATAAAGCCTTACTTGTCTTGTGTCTTTGTATCATAACTACAGGTAATTTCACGACTCTATATTTATGTATCTCATATTTTTCACTGTTCTTATTAATTTTAAAATATAAATCAATAAGTTGAAATTCACACCAAGATTACTTTATAAAATAATTTGAGTAAATGCAAAGATTTCTATGTATGTTTGCGTATTATACAAGTAAAGCCAAAGAAATACTGAAATCACTAACCAAGTTATAAGTATTGAAATGTTAGAGTTTAGAGGTAATTAAACAATTTGGGCTGGCTATAAAACTTACTTAATTCCAAAATTAATTGTTCTGAAGTATTAAACTTAATTTCTCTAATTATTCATAACTTCATACTGAGATTTCCTTATAGATTATATATATATATGCATTATATGATCATATACACAAACATAATTATTGTTTTATACAGTTTACCAGTAAACTCAATGTTAACTTTAAGAAACAAACTTAAGAATTTTGATTTCATTTTTCTTCACCAAATGAAATATTGTTAAATTCCTATTATAATTTGAAGCAATATATTTATAACGATATACTCTGTTTTAATTTCTTGCTATTTGTATTTACATAATTCTTTCAAATAACATTTGAAATGTTTAATTAAGTTGTATTTATACCGCTGTTCATTGCCTTCGGGAAATTAATATATCCTAAATAAATTATGTACTTGGTATAGTATTTGGATAAATTATTTAGTTCTTTTAAAATTGAATAAAAAAATAAATAATTATTCAAGATATAAAAAAAATATATTTTGAATACTTAATACATTTATGGGTTACTGTAATATTTATTCATTTGTAATCGAATAACAAAAATATATATTCAATAAACGTTTGATTAAATTAAAAATATGATTCTTAACAATAAAATACCTTTATTTTATCATATTTGTTGATAAATTTTAAATAAATGAATAATAATAAATGCATGATTTAAATATTAAGTTATATTTTTTTAAATCTTAATATTGATAAATTATTGTTTAAATTTAATGTAAATAAATACTATATTCAATAAAGTGATTTTTTTTATTTGGTTTTAAAATTATTGTTGAACTGTTTTGGTTTTAGATCCTGTTACAGCAGTAAAGGTTTATGTGATTATCCATCAGCTCATATTAAACTTTCCAAAAATCAGCAAATGCTAATGATTGGTCAAAAATATAAAATGATTGTTCATATTGAGTTACCAGAATCTCCAGTAAATGAAGAAATTGGTAAGTTAAGAATTTTCTTATTTATTAAATGTTAATACTTGTACATATTAACGAATAATTAATTTGATAATTTTATTTTAAATGTATTAATTTTTAAGGAATGTTTATGGTATGCATTCGTTTGAGTGATAAATACAGTTATCTAGTATCATCTTCCTGTCGATCTAGTAGATTAAAGTATAAGAGTAATCTTTATCGTATTATTCATACACTTTTCATGGCCCCATTTTACTTGATAGGATTGTCTGGAGAAAATCAAGTAATACAGTTGGAAATGTACTCAGATTTTGAAGAAGATCAAGTACATACATAATTTTATTTAATATGGCTTTGTATTGATTAAAAACATATTATACATTTTATTTCAGTTACATCCAATCACAGACATTTATTTAGAGATTTTGGATCATGATATTCAAATTTACTCTTCTAAAATAAACATTATTGCTAATTTGAAAGGTTTACGGTACCTGATGTTTCATTGGCCAATATTATCTGCCTTTTTAGGAATTGGATCAAATCTTTTATTTGTATTTTTTGTGTTTTCAATGTCATGGTCACATATATATGGATCAGAAGTTTATAGAAATGAATCAAATGGTAATGTAAAACAATATTGTGTACTATTAAAAATAATTATATTGAATGCTATTATTGATATTTAAAATTTGTACTTATTTGCAGGTATTTTTAGCCGAAATATATTTAAATCTGATTATGAACAGTTAGTTGAATTAGATTCTGAGGATGAATCGGAAGAATCCGATGAAATATGTAAAAAAGGTGTTTTGTCTTACAGCTACTTAGACTCAGATCTAATGACTCCTGAGCAATAGATTATATTTAAATTTACTACTGTTTATACATATTTTGATATGTTTACCTACTAGTTAATAGTATTTTTAGGGGTTCAATTTGGGTAATATTTTTTATTGAATTTCATTATATAGGATATTTTTTTACTCTTTCGAACAGTTGTAAACTGTTTATGTTTTAGTTAAATTTTATTTATTTTTTTTTAATTTTATACCAAATTTTAAATTGTTTTGTTGAAAAAATGTATGTATTCCTGTTATTTGTTTGAAACTGAAAATTTATTATTGTTGTTTTAAATTGTTATTACTATTGTACTTATTAATCCTAATTACTAACAGAAATAGTTGTAACTTTGGATCTTGTCATTATGTAGTGTAAGGTATTACAAACATGTTAGGTTTTTATATATTTATCCGAGAAAACAATTTTCTCTTTTTATTATAATATTAAATAATGGTTTGTATAAATTATTTATTTTATAATGAAAAAAATTAAACTTTTGTTTATACTATTAATGGAAAAATGTATTTTATTTGATGTCTAACAAATTATAATATAATGAAGTACTTTAAATAGCTATGTTACTGCTCGATATTTCCACTAAATGTGACTATTCGGTATTCGTAAAATGGTAACATATGTCCGTCAATAGAGTTATTGTATTCTTGACAATCTCAGCATTAGAGTACCAATTGGCCTATCTACGATATTATTAGGCGTAAACGTTGAGTTGCATATTCGCCTAAAGTTAGGCGCAACATTTGTAGAAAACTAGTTATATCATTGATTATAAATACTATTATAATACTATAAAATATATTACTACTATTTATAATCAATGTTTATATATAATTATTATAATCCAGATTACTATTACATTTATATATCGGACATCACTATTCTTGATGTAATATTGTTATTGTTATAATACATTTTTTTTTATTTTAATTTTTATACTTAAAACTTGAAAATTGGGTACTTATACATTAGTTATAAGTTTTATAGCTGAAATAAAAACGACAAAAGTGTTTTATAATCATTAAAAAATAAAATATCGACGATTAATTATGTAGTTGTTCTTCTATTAATAATAATCAAAGTGACTCAGAAATATTAACTGAGTACTTAAATAATTATTTTAAAAATAATACATAGTTTTTCTCAAATTGTATAGGTCTTATATTCCGAAAAATAGAACGCGAAGCCCTGTACGATTGCATTTTCTGCGCACGCCTTGCGCCGGCACTACATATGAGAAATATGCGTTCACTAAATAAGAATTAACCAAAATCATCGAGTTTTTCTCACTAAAGTGAGCCTCACACGATCAGTAATACTGTCAGTATTTCGATATCCGATTTTTTTCAACAGTCATCTGTATTGTTTTTTTCATACTGACAAATACATCAATACTTACTTCACACGATCAATAATACTGTCAGTTAGTACTTAATAAGGCCACTGAGAATATTAAATATCGATTTAATATAAATTGTTTGACAATAATATTGTTAGCGAGTTCGCGAATAAATATAAATTAATTTATCGACGGAAATGTTTGAATATTCGACCGTTCGATAAAAAGATTTCCCAACCCGTATTAAACGGTATATGTCTATACTAATTAACCCGGCGATGGTCGTAATCGTAATGACATTATTTGGATTAATTATTTTACGAAAATTAAGACTTAAAATAAGACTGACCACTTGATAAATTATTTTTCCCAATTAAAAGCTCGAAAAAAAAGTACATTAAATCATTCGAACTCTTTAAGTAATTTATAGATAGTAACTTGTAAGATTATAAAATAATACATATTATTAGTGTTTGAAGTGTTTCATTTTGAAATATTTCAGTACACGGTGAAATATTTCACAACATCGTGAAACGTTGAATTCATTTTTAATTATTGTTTTTGTGTATTTATTTCTTTGAAAAGATAATGCTCCATAGGGCTATTACGAGTATAATGTTTATAACGAAATTTGGTTTAATTTCCCGATATTCAGTTCATCATCGACGATAATGATGTTCGTGGTAGGCCTTGGTCCGTGACTAAATATAAGGATATTTCAAATTTATAATATACCTAGTGTATAATATAAGTATATAAGTGTATAAATGGGTAGGTATAGGTACTTATTACATATAACTAGGGAACGGATTTATATGTAATAAAAATACATAAATATGTACATATGTATGTAAGTATAATTTATAAAATATGTACTAAAACCATCCAAATATGTAGGAAAAAAATTTAAAAAAAAAAATATATAATTATTAAATTATCAAAATGATTTGTTGCATAGAATTATTACAATATATTTTAAATTATCAAATATTAAATGTCGCCTATTAGATCTGAAAATATTTTTAAAACGGCTAAATGATCGTTCCACATCAACCTACATCGGTTGATTTAAGCATATTTGAAGGGCATATTATTAGAAGGCGATAATTCCAAATTTTTAGAAGGGTATCTGCCACTAATTATGTCATTAATTAATTTAAAATCAATATGACCTGAAATTTTTTTCTGTAAAAACATGAATTTTCTTTTTTACTACTTCTCCTATTGGTCCGTTTACAAGTTTTTATTTTGCAATCGTTGATTCGACAATTTGCATACTTTCGTTCAAGGACATATTTTTGTTTTTAATTTTATAATTGTATGTGCAATAAAACTAAAATTCACTGAGATGAAAATTAAATTTGTTTTCAATATTTCATTTTGCATAATATTTTGAGCTTTTCTAATAGCGATAAAAGTTCTGGATCTAAATTTGAAATAATTTTTTGTATTATTGTATGAAGAAGACGTATGAATGATGAAATAATAAAATATGTTTAAAAATATTTACAAATTAGTGAAATATGTAAAAATATGTAATTATACCAAAATATGTAAATATATGTAAAATAAAAGTAGCATCATATTAATAGGAATGATTTAAATTATGAACATTTCTTATCAAATTTTAAATATCTCGTTTTAATAAAAATATGTATTTACATATAAATCCGTTCCCTATATATAACACTATAAACACTGTTATTGACGTTCAATATATATTTATTATCATAAAGGCCGGTTTACATGCAACGACTTATTGTACGTTTTATCGAACACGACTAATCGTATTAAGTAAAAAGGAGTGTGTATACAGTAAATTGTACGTCTTATCGAATCAGAATGAAATCCAAGATTGGATCGAAAAACTGATGGGCACGGATTATTTTTATGCGAAGTTGAACGACATGCCACATGTAAATTCAAAATTGGTGTATAGTACAACTTTTTGTCCTTTTTAGGTTTAATTTTCTCCTTTACTTAATAGTTTTAACAACTTAATTTCATTTTTTTGTTTTTAATAATTATAATATATTATAGTAGGGCCTGCTATTAGTAGGTATATTAACCTATATTATTTAATAAATAATATTCAATTTGATTCGCATGGTATTTTTTGTTTTCTTGCGAAAATGTCTAATGTATGAAATTCTGTTGCACACGTACTAGAAACATTATGGTTGTGCTTCTTCCATATAATTTTTCATAGTGCTTCTTAATAGTGCTTCTTTCATATCGTCAAACATCACTAAAACTGTACACTATTGAAGAATGAACAAAAATACAGTTGAAACTGGGATGGAAAATGAGTAAAGGTTGAAACGTGTAGACACTTTATAAAATGTACGTCTTATTGTTCATTTTATATGTCCAGCAAAACGTGCAATAAGTCGTTGCGTGTAAATCGGGCTTAATAATTATAAAGTTTATATTATGAAAATTGTATACGAGTTATTTTCATACGGTTATTACTGTAATGTGGTGTAAGTATTCATTATCATTTACAAATTTAATATACTTTTATCATTATAACTCTGTACTCATTGCTGTTCAAACATTTATGCGCGTATCAAATACGTTTGGACAACATTGAACATGGGTAAACATAGTGCAAAAATATATAAAGGGTTTAGAGAGTAGGTATAGTGAAAAAAAAACGTAATAAAACCATAATTAAAAGGTCGTGTAATTACTGCAATTGGATAACAGTAGAAATATGCAACTCGTAAACTAAATCAAATTTTAGATTGTTGTAAATGCCCTAAAAACATTAAAGATGTCTTTAAATCTCTATTACAACTCATTCGACTGCTACAAGTATGTAGTATAGATTTTAGTTTTATCTTATGATTTTAACACAAGGTAACTTGAAAACGATTTTAAATCCATGGATACTTACTTTCTTATTGCTAGTCGTAGCTTTTTAATTGTCTACTAGGTAGTGAAATATAAGTATAAAATTATCATTTATCCGTGAATGAACTTATGAATATGATAAATTCATAAAATGATGTTTTATCATGTAAATCAAGTTAATTTTTTATAAATCATTATACTAGTTATATTATATAATTATTTAATACATTAATTCCGTGTCGACTACACGCATATTCTAAATATATTAACTTAACTATATTTCTTTTTCCTTTTTAGCGACTCTTTAGAGGAACGTGCCTCAGGATGCCGAGAAGATTAATCCGCTGTAATATTCCATATACCTTATAAATAAGTTGACTTAGAATTAAAATAATCTAAACTTAAATTACTGAGAGATTTATACACACCGTATTACTAATATAAAATAATAATGATCTGACGATGGTGTAGTATACCATATGTCGCTAATAAAATAACGATTCGTATGAGAAGATAATTTTGTAGCGCTTCACATACTTAAAAAAATTATTGACTTATATATTTAATTTGTACAAGGTATATATTCTTAGAACTACTTCTGTACAACGTATGGGTCGTCTATGAGAGCGAACAACGTCACACTGTGCATGGAATCAGCTACAGAGGGCCGTCCATAAACGTATATAAGGATCGGCTCTGCATTCAGACGTCTCCAGGCCATACAGCAATAACGCACCGCTTATATCGGTCATCGTAGTAATTATAAACTTCATTGATTTTTCCAAGTGTTTTAAATAAATTACCGACAACACAGTGTTACACAAGTGCATTTAGTGAACTTGTCCTTAAATCTTAACACTTGGTATTATATCTGTTATGCCACCGGAATAAGCGACAAATGAACACAGGTTGGGTGTACTGATCGAACGTGTATTACGAAAGTATAAATATATACATATTACAAAAACGGACGTGCTTTCGGTACACGATCACAATACGATGCGCGTTGGAACTAGTGAGTTCGCGTATAATGGTACGTGGGAACAATGCATAGGAACGGCGTGGCGGTCACTGGTCGCCCTTACCCTCCCCCGGTTTATCTCCACGCACATATCCTCGTAGTCCTTCTTTAAGGTGGTCAAGTCTTCGTGCGCCTCCGAGAACTCACCCTGTGCAAAATAGAAGCAACCGTTGAACTTGCCGTGAAATGATTCGCAGCAATTTGTCGTTCGTTCTAAATTACTTTTTTTATATTCAGCACACATTGTTGGTGCCAATGAGCGCTACCTTTTTTCAGTATAATTTTCTAGTATATAATCAAAATATTCTTCAAGTTTTTCATAAATCAGTTCTTATGACATCGAATCAATAGTAATGGAATCGTTATTGTAACTTCCTCAGACAATAATAAAGATAAGTAAAAAAAAAATGATAACAGTTTAAATATTCACTTCATATTTATGAACCGTTATTTTTTAAATCCTTCGAAAGCCTTAATTTTAATATCTTTCTCCGCCATACTTGGCGTAAGTGAAACCGACAACATTTCAATTGAGTCGAGATAATATTATACAATTTCTTCTTGGTCCAGGATCGCGATACGATAGTGAATAATCAATAAACGAACACAAGTTGGGTGTAGTGATCAAAGGAATGTGTATTACGTACGTATAAATATATACATATTACAACAACGTATTTTCGGTACTGGTCGTCGATCACATTACGATGCGCGTTGGAACACGTGAGTTCGCATAAAACGGTAAACAGTGAGCAGGAACGGCGCAGCGGTCACTGGTCGTCGCCTTCGCCTTCGCCCTCTCCCACGTTGATCTCTACGCCCACCTCCTCGTAGTCCTTCTCCAGGGCGGCCAGGTCCTCGCGCGCCTCCGAGAACTCGCCCTCTTCCATGCCCTCGCCCACGTACCAGTGGACGAACGCGCGTTTCGAGTACATCAGGTCGAACTTGTGGTCGAGCCGGGCCCACGCCTCGGCTATGGCCGTCGTGTTGGACAGCATGCACACGGCCCGCTGCACCTTGGCCAGGTCGCCGCCCGGCACCACGGTGGGTGGCTGGTAGTTGATGCCCACCTTAAACCCTGTCGGGCACCAGTCGACGAACACGATAGTACGCTTCGTCTTGATGGTGGCGATCGCGGCGTTCACGTCCTTCGGCACCACGTCGCCGCGGTACAGCATGCAGCACGCCATGTACTTGCCGTGCCGCGGGTCGCACTTGACCATCTGGTTGGCCGGCTCGAAGCACGAGTTGGTGATCTCGGCCACGGACAGCTGCTCGTGGTACGCTTTCTCCGCGGATATGACCGGCGCGTACGTGGCCAGCGGGAAATGGATGCGCGGGAACGGCACCAGATTCGTCTGGAACTCGGTCAGGTCGACGTTCAGCGCGCCGTCGAACCGCAGCGACGCCGTGATGGACGACACGATCTGCGCCATCAGACGGTTCAGGTTCGTGTACGTGGGCCGCTCGATGTCCAGGTTCCGGCGGCATATGTCGTAGATCGCCTCGTTGTCCACCATGAACGCGCAGTCCGAGTTCTCCAACGTGGTGTGCGTGGTCAGGATCGAGTTGTATGGCTCCACCACCGCCGTGGACACCTGTGCGCGTACACCGAAAACGGATAAACAGAATGAGAAAACCGTGTTTATTTCGAGGACCAAGGAGACGTGCTACCGTTTGCACTAGCTGTTTACTTATAAAGATTTTTATAAATATATACGTATAAAAATATTCGGATAACCTGTGATCGATCTGGACTGGAAAAATGGGCGAAAAATAATAATTTACTTGTAGCGCATTTTTCTCGCCCGAAAAAATAACGAAAAGGTTATTATTATTTTAATTGCGAGTGTGTGTTGCGGCCAGAGCAGCACTGAGATAATCTTCACGAGATTCCATGTCTAAAATGTTGGAGCGTATCGATAATCGAACCTTAGAAAAATGGTGTTTAGATTGTGTCGAGGGGGTAAACGATCGTTACCGGGAATCCAGCACTGATTTTACTTATCACTATGACGACGGTCGGGCCTAGGACTCAAATTAATTCACGTTAATTCCGCAGGAGAGGAAGCTCATGTTCCATCATCGCACTCACTTGGGGTGCCGGGTAAACGGCGAATTGCAGTTTGCTCTTCTTCCCGTAGTCCGCGGACAGCCGTTCCATAAGGAGCGAAGCGAATCCGGAACCGGTGCCACCACCGAACGAGTGGAATATCAAGAACCCTTGGAGACCGGTGCACTGGTCCGCGAGTTTTCTGATCCTGTCCAGCACCAGATCGACGATCTCTTTGCCGACAGTGTAATGGCCACGTGCGTAGTTGTTGGCCGCATCCTCTTTTCCCGTGACCAGTTGCTCCGGGTGAAACAGTTGTCGATAAGTACCGGTCCGAACTTCATCTGCATCAAATATAATTTAGTGTGATATCGTTGTTTTGTTTTGTTTTTTTAATATTTTTATCCCACCCGTGTACGAATAGTCTACTCAAAACAAAACCGTAAAGTATACTACTTGTTGAAAGTGTTAGAAAATTATGTACGAGACGCAACTAGAAGTTAAGATCTTAGTGTTAAGTACGACGCTTTTATTTCATTTACTTGGATACGTTAAACTTGTTCTTAAAGTCTTACTGACATATTATATCGATAGATTTTTAATTTAATTCAATATATGACATATTTACATTAATCTAATTATATTATTATACACTATGTACAACGGTATAGTTAGGCTGGTGCAGCCGGTGCAGCGCACTGAGACTCCTGTAGTTTGGGGACCACAATTCAATAGAAAATTGAAATAAATAAAAAATAGAAGCTTGCATTATCTACAACTCATTTTTTATTTTTATTTTTGACTATATAATAATTTTCCTTTTATCCATACTACTGTTAGTTGATAATAATGTTTGAACAATATTTTAGTGGGTCTGGTAAAATCGATAAATACTAAACAAGTTTGTACCTAATAGGTCTTCACTTGCCTATCATGCACCGGAGTCTCCAAAAGTTTAGCTACGCCGATGACTATGCAATATGCATATTTATTTAGTATGCTACATATATTATTATTGTACACTATAAAAATAATACATAATAATACATGTAACGAGTAAGTTTTTGCATTTTCACAGAAACATTTGTAGGATTTTCATTTAGGATTTTTAGTTTAACTTATAATATAATATCATCGTGTTTAGAAGACACGAATAATGTTGTTTCATAAAACTGTAATACCAATATATTCCAAAGTATTTTGTATTTTTTATGCATGCGCGTACCATCGGATGGAGGATATGCTTACCCACAACAGTCGGTTCAAGATCAACGAACACGGCCCTAGGCACGTGTTTACCGGCGCCAGTTTCACTGAAGAACGTGTTGAAGCTGTCGTCTCCACAACCCACTGACTTGTCGGAAGGCATTTGCCCGTCCGGTTGAATGCCATGTTCCAAGCAGTAAAGCTCCCAACAGGCGTTGCCGATTTGCACTCCAGCTTGACCGATGTGTACGGAAATACATTCACGCTAATACGATATCAATAATAGTTAGTAGATGGTAGATAATAGTTGAAATACAATAATTATATATATATATATAGAACTCGATTGCGTATGATTGCTGTTAAATAATGGAAACCCGTAAAACGACACGATTGCGTATGCAACGTTTTCAAATTTGTCAATAATAGTAAGAACAATTATACATAAAAAAAAAAAAAAACATAAACAATAGATACATATAAAATACATATAAATACAATCACGTTAGTGTACAACACACGAAGTACAGTAATTAGCAATTATATCATACACTTATGTTCGACCAAACGAAAACAAAGTTTTAAACTCAAAAAGGATTTGCTTGAATTTTGATTTTTTTAATCGTTTAATATTTATATTTATTTTAATTAATTATAAACACTTACCATGATGACAGTTAATCTGAGCGAATTACAAACAAATTCTAGCGATACAACTCAATGAGTTAAACAGTGCAAGTATCAAAACCTTTGTGAGGAATATAAGAACTAATATTTAGTCAAAACAATATATAACCAAACAAAGATGGTTGTCGAGGAAATTCAACAACTTTAGAGAATAGCAAACAACAGAAAATAAATTTTTCATAAGTCATTTTCATACATTATTCTTTTAATTAATCTTATACGAGTTTTACCATACTCTTTTCGTAATTTGGTATGAAGTATATCAAGACCTAAAAATTATATTCCATTAAAAAGAATTTAAAAGAGGAGTATTTGATTTTAATATAAATGTGTCATAGTATCAAATAAAAAAAAGTTGATTATTATGTTGATAAAAACGAGTTAAATTAATAAAAAATTCTCAAGGATATAATACTAAAAAATTATATTTTAGAAAATATAGTAAATCATTGGTTAAATTGGGTTCAAAGTCTAAAAGCTATTGCTTATCTTAAGTTATTTTATATTAATTTTCAATAAATTACACAATGTTATAATGAAACATTTTTTTTTCAACATAATTTACATAATTACCATCCAAACATTTATTTACCTCACAAGAATTTAAGATAAGTCGTCGGTTGAGTAACAGAGATTTACCTCAAATGTATTACTATCAATGGGAATATTATAATATTTAATTAACATTAAACAATATTATTATATACGAATACATAAACGTTGAAATACGATTTGTATTTTTAGACACTTGATATATAATAAAATATATCCTTACAAGAAAATCAATAGAGTGGTTAATTATATGATTAAATAATTAGGTACAATGTTATAAAGTTAATAAATCAACGCATTATTTTAATCACGACATTTATATCATGAATGACAAAAAAAAAAATAAACTACAATTATAACAGAAGACTAGAAACAAAAGAAAGAAGATGACTAGAAGATCAGCTTTGTATGGTATATTTGTTATTAACGGTCATAAGTCATTTGCGCATTACCATTGTTTATTTGAACCATTTTAATAAGACGTTTGAGCATCGTTTGATTTTTGAGTTAATCATCATTTGCACATGTTAACCTTACTTTAGGTATTTAATTTTGATAATAATGTACAGTATTACAGTCTTCATCTTTCAATATGGAAAGTATGAAACAGTAATTTTTATAAATTATTAATTAAGCCATATTAAAAATATATTTGCTTTTTTATTTTATTATTTATTTTGCATCATAAAGGATGATTACGCATGTAAGGAAAACAGTACAAATTATAATAGACAAAATACAAATATAAAATATTACAAGGTGAAATAACTTAAATAAAAACTAAAAAAAAAATAAAAAAAACTTAAATAAATAATAATATTGAAGAATCATGATAATCAATATTATTAATTTTGTTACATAAGTTCAGCATTCAATTGACCGACGAGTTACTAATATAGTTCTTGTATATGAGTAGATAAATAAAACATTGGATAAAAACGGAGAGATACCTGAAGAATCTTAATAGATATTAAATTTAAAATTTCTAGACAATTGATTTTATTATTTAGTAGATTATGAATCCATTTAACATCTAGACAATTTCTTCCACATAATAGATGGTACATTTTTAGATTTTCAAGCAACTTATCATATTTAATTTCATTATTTTTAACTTCATAAGAGATTAATTTAAAAACAAAAAACAATGTTGGATAGATTCAATCTTATTTATTATTATTATCACTTAACACATATAATGACCATATAATAGAACCATATTCTAAAACGGACCGTAGTAGTGCAGTATGTATGGTTTTTAAACATATAACTTTCGGTTTTATATAGGTACTTAGGTTATCGAAACATGAAAATACAGTCGGAAACCTACATAAAAATTAAAGATTTTTTTCAGTGGTTATTTATAACCTAGTCGTCGAAAATTATACTACATTAAAGACCAATAGCTTTGGTATGCCACAGGTGAAATAAATAGATTTGATTTTTTAAAAACTAATGGGACATTAAAATATACCTATTGATTAATAATATTATTTTAGTTAAGTTCAATTATTGAATTTTCTTTTCGTATATTATTAATTATCTTATAAATAAAACCTCAAGTAATTCAAATACTTGTTTGTACGAGTACCTACCTGCCACTCAACTTACTATTATGTTGATGCATCAATGATGTCGGCGAAGAACAACTGAGCATATACCTTTCCAGCAATAGCCTTGAGTATGATATAATAAAGTTTTGAATTTAAAAAATCATCATTAGCTACAAAATGTGCATTGAATATCAATTAAAATGAAATGAAAATAATTTTTACAAAAATAAAAAATTTTTTAATTTAATAATAAACAAAAGTGTTAGTAAAAGATATTGTATTTTTAATGAAATTATAATTTTTATTTTTATATGTATACGTATACGAAATTTTAACGTGGTATTTTTCTAGATATACTCGTATAGTGTACCTAAATGTGTTGCATTTAGGGTCTACTGTATCCAAACGTGTTACGGTCGATTAAATGTTAGTAAACCGGTGTAACAAGATTAAAAAAAACGTGTTAATCCTTTTTGATTTAAAAGTTATATTCTATAAATTATAAATGTACAGCAGGTTAATGATTTCGATGAATAGTTTTATCGAGTAATTCCTCTGCGTATAATCTTAATTGCTACATAATATCAGTGGCGTATACAAGGGGGGTGTTTGGTAGATATGACACCCCCTTGAGCCGTATCATATATTACATTATTATAGGAATATAGGTAAATCGATAATACAATATGAAATATAAAATAATACACAATACTAATTACATATATACAGGTTAACATTATCGCGATTGTGACAATACGTGACGAAAATTATTCTTTTACGTTTTTGTGCAACACAAAACGTTTAATAATAATAGGTATTGTAGTATCGAATACTGATATTCGAATAGTTAAATATTCGAATGATTTATGGTAAAGCTATCCGAATTCGAATATACATTACATCTCTATTACAGACATTATGTATACATATTAATTAATTAAAATAAAAGTTTTAGTTTGTACGTATTATATATAATATTTAATAATTATAATTAACACCCTCCTTCAGAAAATCCTAGCTACGCCACTGCATAATATTATATTAATTTGAAGTCATATTCTAAATGCATCAATATATATGGTTTTAAATTAATATATAGATAATAAATTAATTATAATGCAGTTACAAAAAGTTTATTTTAAATGTAACTGAAAAACTTTATTTAAAATTAATACATATAAATAAAAAAAAAAAAAAACGATTAATTTGTTTATTGATATATTTTAAAAATGTTTTTTTTTTTTAGTTACTCTCGGTATGATGACATGGGTATAAACCCAGTCGGGCGTCATAACCGCTGTGCGATGTATTGTTCGACCACCACATATCCGTTTGCATTAGTTATCGGTATCATTATATTTTTATATTGCTTATTGTGTGTTGTATGGGCTACATTATTGTCTATTAATCTTTGTTGTTCATATTATACTAGCTGATAAGGCCGTATCTGCAAGGGGGTCCAATATGTCTGGACCCCCTCCCCCCCCCGAAATTTCTTCAATATTTTACGAATGTTTAAAATACTTTATTTTTAATACCAAAATAAATATTTTCAGTCAAAAATTACTTAAGCTCCAATTAATCATTGACTGCTTATAATTTTATATCATAATATATCAAAATATGATATTAATTTTAATAAAAGATTTTAAAAATCTTTTTCTGTATATTTTTAACCAAATATCAAAAGTTAAAATTTAAACTCAATAAAATTACAATATACATGTTTTGGACCCTCCGAAAAAAATTTCTAGATACGGCATTGCTAGCTAAATTACCCGGTTTCTCTCGTGTGTAGATTTTGCTTTCTTTAAATGAAACGCTTAAATCAACACACATTGTTGTGTTTTAAAGAAGAAAAAAATGTATTTAATTAAAATTGATTAAGTGCTAAATAGTAGTAGCTGATCTATAAATAATAAAAAAAAATAATAATAATATTTACAAATTGTTCTAATGATACTATACACATATTATTATTATTAAAAATGATTCTATAATCCTTATCCTTATATATATATATATGTAAAGAACAGGTTTTTTTATATTCCAATTTTGTAATGACACTATTTAACATTTTTAATAGCAAAGTTGTGCTAAATACTCTTCTGAGTATCACCACATCAACTGATTTTTCATTTTTTTTTTGTTTGAGGGGAGGGAGAGAGGGAGTGTATTTTTATATTCTGATTTTGTGACGACATTATTTAATATTTTTCCAATCCCCCTCTCCTTCCCCTTCGACAAAAAAGTGAAAAATCGGATGAGGTGGTGACACTCAGGAAGATATTTGAAACAACTCTGTCAAAAAAAATTGGAAAAATGTTAAATATTATCGTTACAAAATTGGAACATAAAAATACAATTCCCCCCTCTTTCACCCCTCAAACAAAAAAAATTTTGAACGAAACGAGGAATATATCCCAGATAGCAATTTCTATATTTACCTATATAAGTATCCTGTGAT